GCTTATTATATTGTTCCATATCGCTGGTTGTAAAACGAACGTGTCAATAAGTTGATAAGTTTTTAAAGACTTTGTTGTAGTAATTTATTAAACTATTTTAATATATCGAATTTTAGAGTTGGTCTAATACGGTGTATACTTAAATTTTGTCAGAACAAAATATACCGTGATCGCCCAGCAAAACAGAATTAAAGAGCCACCCGCCTTAATCCAGATACATTCATTGCGTTCAATATATAGCAGTCAAACAAAGCGGAAATAAAGTGAAAACAAACTATGTTATTGCATTGCAACGATACTCGCATCCAGTTAAGCGAGGGATACGTTTCCGGATTTAACCGACAAGCATCTTTCAATTGTCCATGCACAGTATTTGATTGTAGGTTTTCATACATGACATGACAGTGTGTTATACAATTACACAGTATGCATGATTCACTTATCAAATCTATCACACGCGTTATTGTTTTCGTCTTTTTTCTACTTATATTACTAACAGAACTTCACAGCGGGTAGCCACTGTTCACGTCTATCGAAACATGAATATCGACCGGAAATGATGGTAAAGTAATGCATCTAACGAGATATCTATAACGAGATATCAATATCAGTAGACTACAGCGACAGGGTATGCTGGCTACAAGAAATATTGGAAACCTCATTTAATCGTATGACCATTTCATATTATAGGCGAAAACCAAACGGTTTCGAAATATTGGAGAGACGTATATCACTGACTCTAACTTTTCTGATATACGAGTATAGTAGAATAGGTTTCGAAGATGATACTGTTTATAATTATACATCTGTCACCGTAACGCCATTACAGCGTGCCGTAATTTTACGGTGTTTGATAAAATGGAATGATTGCGCGCGTAAGCAAACAAACATGGCTGCCACGAGGGTTTGACCGGACTCCACATAAAGAAGTTCACTGATTCTGTTCTAAACTTTTAGGATTTCGGTATTCCCATGATGTATCCTTGGAAGGAAAATACTCAGACAGTACCCGCGCATCGACCTCTGTTGCGCGTCGGTCGATACTGCCGCTGTACTGTCTTCGTGCATACTTTGAGGTATCCTCGTAATAACCTCATATTATAAATGTCATAGAATTGGGTATGTGTAAAATAGTCGAGCTCATTGCATTTTATTATCTAAAGTGCTCACCATTACATTATGAGAAAAATCTCTTGCAGTCGCAAAGAAACAATGAAAACAAAGACACGGCATTCGAAAACCTAAACTAAGTGCTCTATATTTCAGTGCCCTGCACTTATACGTTTCTCTGCATAATATCGTTGACGTCTTTGTCATGCAACTATAGTATGACTTATCTAATCTGAAATATTGTCCAATCTATCAAGAAACCTCAAGAAACCCCAAACCTTTGATCGAATAGTCACTTAATCCTTTTGTATGGCCTCTATATACTCCAATAACCAATCACCCATGTAACAATCATTGACGAAAACATTGCTACAAGATGTATTGCCAAAGGAATTGCATGACAAACAGTCTCTACAACTTCAACGGCATTGATTAAAAACAGATCAATTGGAGTATGTGAGTGCAGTTTTAGGGGTAATCAATTCCATTGAACGGAGTGATATATTTCACTATCAGAAAAAGTTTCGTATAAGCCATTTTTCGTGGAAACAAATACGTGCGTTTGATGCAAATCTAAAAAAATGATTATGGGTTAACTACACAATAGTTTGTTCTTACTGCAGTATACGCCTACTCCTTTTTTATTCTTTTGTAACTTGAAAGTCCTGTAAAGACCTACACAAAAGAACGACATATAAAAAGATTCGGGATTACAGGATATGAGATTAAACTTGTATACAGTATACTAATCCCGAAGAATTGATTTTCATCGAATTTATCAAATTTGATAAGTAGACCATACGTCTGACTCGAATAATAATGAGACACTATATTAAAACATTGGCCAGGGTATTGTGGCTTGTGAAACCTGTACAAATTGTTGTGTATAATTGTATTATAATTATTGTAAAGTAGGTTTAGTATGAATGATTGAATTATGCTCGTATCACACATCCTTGAACACGTTTTGCAATTATGACATAATTTATCATTGATAAGACGGAATGTAAATTATCAAGTTCTTAGTCATCAAAGTACGTGTCACCTTTTCCAGGTTTATTATGCAAGTTACCGACAAGACGTCACTTTATTTTATTGGAAAAACGTGAAAGGAAAAGCGCATATATAGGTGACATAGGCCAAGTAGAATCGAATTGATTGACATGTGTGAATTTGCATACGATTTTGTCAGAAAATTACATTTGGTACAGGCAAGCCTATAGCCTGAAGTTTAATTTGTAATTCTAAAAGTAAATTTATTTCTCAATATTTAAACTATTGTCTATTTTTTTTAACATGTTTCATTAATTGTGAATGAACAGTTAGAATTTGAACAGTTTTATTCACACCAGAAAATTACGAAAGAATTCGTCGTCTCAAAATGTACGAACGATTTAAACATGTATAAAACAAGTTGGGTCCAGTATATTTACAGAGAATTTATTAAGTGTTTTTAATTGTTTGTAGATACATGTAAGGATATTTCTAGTCATTCTTGTCGACTGCTCAGAATTCATAATGTAAATCCGTCCTTCTTGTAATGAAACACTCAGAATAAAAGTGAACATAATTGAACTATTTAATTTGAGACCCCTTTGATGAAATGTAATATTCAATTATCGATTTAGAGAAATTAGTATACATTCAGTGTATTCTATTATAATATTTATTACATTCAATTATTTGACTATGTTATTGTGCTTCATCCATTATACAATGAATCGTTTTCACAAAAAGACAATAATTTCATTCCTAGATCTTGTTGGTACATTCTGTCACCCGTCGTACGTTCAATATAGCGTCAACAACATTCATAGAACACTCCGTAGAATTACACGTATTACAGGTGTGTTATTGAGATTTAATTTATAATGTTGAGAATTATTAGTTATTATAAACATACTCGATTTTCTGAATATTAGAGTATATATTATTTAGAAATATTTATTATTGTCTATTTTTTCCTATGTATACGTCGTTTTATGTCTGACCGCAGTGTATAGTTCATTGAGATCAGAGTAGAGAACAGTCCCAGACACACCAGTCTAATTGTGACACGAGAATGCACTACTATCACGTAATTACACTTGAAATATACAAGAGCTGAAAAAATAAAAATAAAAAATAGTGTAAGAAAGCTAAACTACTATAAATACAAAATATACATTATGTCAATAAGATTGGAATGTTTGCCTATTTAATAAATTAAAATTGAGTCAATTGTATGTCAATTATCAGTGTTTTTTTATCCCTGGAAACCATTTGATGAGACGTAAATGTCAAAAACATTCGACACTTCCAAAATATGATGGTAGATTAGATGTTTAGCTTTTTAAAAAAAATACGAACTAGACTCTTATAATATGTAGTTTTAAAACACGATTCACCATAGTAAAATGGCTTGTCAGTACGGGGTTGTATATTGACAAGCACAAGGTTAATTACATATGGATATATTATTCGAGATTAAAGCAGATAATCAGTAACAGACACATGTTTCAATACTGTATATATTATTATTAAAATTATTTTTTTCATATTGCTGCATCTGACACATGGTTTCAACACGATTTTAAATAAAACTGAGCTTTTCATTGCTACTTTGTAATATTCGACCATATGTGTCAGATGTCACATGAACTTGCAAAGAACTTTTGATATCATAAATCCCATTTTCACTTTAATAGGATTCAAATATATTACAATACTCAGTAAACACGCTATATTTCTGAAAGTGGGTGGATATGTCTAATTTCAAACATACAAACAATTGAATAAATACTTTTTTTTTACTGAAAAAGAGAAATATTTTCCAGTAGAATTTGTAGACTGTGTTTCATCAGCGTATATACTACTGACTTCGCGGTGCTCTTGTTTGATTGAAATCACCTTTGTTTTCTACATCAGTGACTGTGATAAGTTCAGTCCAAAATCTAAAATGTAATTTAAATTCTATAAATACTCCACACTCCTGGTTTATGTAGCATTAAGTAATAGCCGAGGGAATCGAAAACCTTTTATTAATTGTTTGAATCTGTGTGATTAAATTTATCCAGTTGTTGGTGTCTTTACGTATACCATGTGGACCCATGAACTTTTTTACGTCTTAATGGCGATTCCGAAGGAGTTAATAAAGAAAGACCATAGAAGTGTATCGTCAGAATAAAACGGTGGTTTATATCCGATAACCTATAAGTGAACCACTTTTATCGAGGTATATATTTTAAAATGAGAAGGCGTGTGTGAATTTTAATGATTATAGAATTTATACTTCAAACGCAGTGCCGACTATGTTGAAATTCTCTAAGCGTCTTTGTGAAACACATTATCGTACAATCTGCCCACAACTTCATTTGAACGATTAAACAGTGTATTTCTCTAGCGACTACTACAGAGGGTCGTGTATATGTGTATGGAATTGCTTTGGCGACTTCTGTAAGGATATGCTTGGAATCACTTAAACGATGGAAATACAATTAATTTGCGCCATACAATGCTATGGCTTTATGAAGTCATCTCAAATTGCTGCCGCATTTATTCCAATCAAGATAATAAAGAATCCTTTCAATATTATCAGAATTTAACTGACACAGATTTAAAGAGACACAACGTTTGCTTTGAACTGGCGTCACTACAATGCATATTAAATGTAATACCTCCGAAAAACAATTCAAGCGATTCATTTTTAAGTCAAGAAGATACAAATAACCCACAAAACAACTTACAAAACCAGTCAATGCAATTCGTACTTATACATGTTTTACCTAGGAAATGAAGTAGAGTAATGGGTATTTCCAGTTAACTGCTTACACGATACAAAAATACGTACTCGGTATGTAAAATGTCTTCTTCTTTATTTTATACCATACATAATATATATATATATTTATTCAGTACCATTGGCCATAGGCCATAATGTACAGACTTAAATGTAACACAAATAAATAAATAGATCGTTTGACAAGAATAATCACTGCTACTGCTTGTCTGAATATTACAAATTTATACTTCACCTATGAATACCAAATAAAATTTATATTTCAGTTAAATTTCCCTCCAACAAACTATGACGTTTTTGTAAAGAGTAGAATACGTATTTTGCAAGATTTTGTATTGTATGTGTATTTCCAGATTGCAGTAGCAAAATAAATTTCCATTCAAGCGCTGGGCAATAGTAAAACTTGTGTATAAAATGAGTTCTAATTTCCTCAAATTGGGGGCATTGTAATAGAAAGTGGAACTCGTTTTCAATGAGATTACAACCAAGAGGACACAATCTTTGGTCAAGCGGTATTCCCAATGCCCTACCCTTTTCAATCATGAGCTCATGAGCAGATATTCTAAAACAAGCGAGAGATTTTCTAAAAACACTTATAGTAATAGAATCCAGATATTTTTCCCCGGCTAATAATTATTTAAATTTAGAATAAGTGCATAATTTTGAACTATTACCAATCTGATCATGCCACTGTTGCTGGGAAATATCTAGACACCGTTGGTTAAACTGTAGCAGAAAACAATTTGGGTTATTCACATACTGGCTTTCCCATACGTGTGGAAAACCAAAATTACATAACAAATCCTTAACATATGTTGCCCAACAATT